GTTACTTATTGAGTACATGTCATGACCCAACTCCATGTCAGGCCGTGATGGCGTCCAGCACTGTTGCTAGACAAGCCAGCAGTGAACAACCTAGTGATTTCCCATTTTTAACGAGTTTTCCCATATAGAAGTTTTCCATAATTTAAAAGATTTAATAAGAAACTGATTTAAGTTAATAAATGAAAGCAGTTAGAAACATTTATAACCATAGGAACAGAACCCAAAAATCACTAGTCTACTAATGTGTGTCTATATCTAGTGTCACAAGTATGTGGGCAACTAGTAGAATATACAAAAGATGTCTATCCTACTGCCTGAAATAGAATAGACAGCAACAAAACAAAAGAGAGACTCCGTCATGCTGCTGAACGGCTCGGAAGGGGGCAGCTCACCGTGAAATCTCGAACCAGGATCAAGTATGCGCGCCGGACGGGTAACCAGATGTACCTGCCTCAGATCCTGTATATTTAAGTACAAAAGTGTAGTATGAGTACATAAACATACCCAATAAGTATCCAGTCTAACCTCGAAGAAGTAGTGACGAGGGATCGACTTTGACACTTACTATGGGCTAATAATAATATATTAAAAATATTATACTAAGCATGGATTTCATGAATAATACTGACAGCTCAATAACAGGAAATAATATATTCTTCTTTCACAATATTAATTCCAAGTTCAGTTTTATCATTTAACAGCTTACATTTCAAGACATTTAAGCAATATCAATTATGGATAGTTTCAAAGAATTTTCATGCGCAAGTTATGCCGAGGTTGTATGGCCTGATGCAATATAATATTTAAACTGTGCACTGTCGAGGGTCGAACGACACGAATCATAGATGCATCTATCTGCTACCGAGGCGTTCGGCCCGTTCCATATATAGCAAGTATTTTTAAGAAAACACAAATTTCTCATTTACAGTCAAGTATCCCATTCAAACTTCAAGTAAGTGAATTTAGCCTTTTACAATTTTTTTATCAGATTCCAACATGACATAAGCAATTAAATTAGTAAGTAAGGACGCAAACATTTCAAATAAAGCATGATACGAGTCCTAAACTACCCGGACAATAGCATAATAGTAGCTACGTACGGACTCTCGTCACCTCGTACGTACGTAGCCCCCACAAATAGGTACACACATTTATTTAATTCACCTATGGGGTTGATTCCCTCTTACAAGGTTAGAAAGGAGATTTACATCGTCTCAAAGCCTACTTCCCGGTTCAAAAAGGTGCTCAAACCTCCAAATTTGGTGCCAAACAACTCGAAACTAGTCAAACATTACATAAACTAATCAATCTATGCTCAAAAGTTCATATCCCTACTATTAGAGTGATTACCCAATCCAGAATGCAAGATTCCTAAAATTCACCCCTGGGCTCACATGCCTGGATTCTGGAATTTTCGAAGAAAGTTGTTACCCATAACCTTAGGAACATAAATATATGATTTTCACTAAGTTCCATAATCATTTTTGTGGTAAAATCTCATTTTTCATTAAACCCTAGGTTTTTCATCTAAACCCATGATTTCTACCAATTTTCATGTTGAAATCTACCCATAATCTATATATTAAACTCACATTAAGTAGAAATTACTTACCTCACAAAGCTAGGTCGAAATCCCTCCTTAAAAGCTCTCAAATCGCCCAAGAGTGGAAGGAAATATGATAAAAATGGCCTAAGTCCGTATTAAATGAGCCCTCACTACCCAACGACTCTCGCACCTGCGGTGCCTTGGCTGCATCTGCGGTCTCGCACCTACGGAAAATCCATCACAGGTGCGCATTTCCCTCACCTGGCCAGTCTCTGCATCTGCTGACAGAAGGGGCCGCTTCTGCGAGCTTAGTTGCACCTGCGACCAAAGCTCTCGCACCTGCGGTCACGCGGGTGCGCGCAATCTTCCGTGTCTGCGGTTCTTGGGCTGCCCTTGATTTCTCGCTTCTGCGGCTCGTGGCTCGAACCTGTGGCTGGCCAAGCGCAGGTGCAATTATGATAGACCTAATCTTCAGCTGTTGCTCCAAATTCTCAACTTGGTCCGAGCCTCGTCCGATTGACACTCGGGGCCCCCGGGGCCCCGCCCGAACATACCAACAAGTTTGGAATCATAAAACGGACTCGCTCGAACTCTCGGAACGCCCGAAACAACATTAAAACTAAGAATCACATCTCAAAACCAGTTGAATCAAACTTATGAACTTCAAGTTCTTCAATTTACTTCCCATGCGCGGAAACGTACTTATACTACTCGGAATGACACCAAATTTTACGTGCAAGTCTTAAATGACATTACAGAACTATTTCGGTCTTGAAATTACGTTTGGACCTCGATATCACCAAAACCCGCTCCAAACCAAATTTAAAGAACTTCTAAAATCTTCAAAGAATCAACTTTCACTATTAAGCGCCAAAACGCTCTCGGGTCATCCAAAACCCGATCCGAACGTACGCTCAAGTTCGAAATCATCATATGAACCTATTGGAACCGTCAAATTCTGATTCTGAGGTTGTTTATGTTGACCGAAGTTAAACTTGCCCTCTTTAAGCCAACTTAAGGAACCAAGTGTTCCGATTTCAACTCGAACTCTTCCAAATCCCGAACTAACCATTTCCACAAGTCATAAATCAATAAAAGCATGCACGGGAAGTCTTATTTAGGGGAATGGGGTTCTAGAAAGCAAAACGACCGGTCGGGTCGTTACAGTACATGAGGTCGGTTATACTTACACTTCTGCACCTTGCGTGTAGATTTTGGAGCTGTTGTTGCTGTGTATGGCGGGAACTGGAATGAAAGATGTGCCTGCTTCTGGTTATAGCTGCCTCTTGTTCTTGGTAGCTTTATATTTATAAATCTGTTTATGTACATTTCGAACATATGATGTATTTATTTCATACCAGCTTTGTAAACTCTAAATCTTAGAAGCTCATGATTAGTAATATCAATCCTTGGCATTTTGTATAAAAGTTCGGTTAAATACATCATTTATTCTCCCAGTAAGTCTCATTTGAATTGAATTATTGCTAACTGGTTAATCTAGCGGGTTGGGTAAGGTTCCATCACGACTAGTTGGATTTTTGGGTCGTGGCAAAATTTATTTGGTAGGTTCGGTAATTTTTCGATTTATTTTCATAAAATCAAAAACCTACCCTAATAATCGGTACAGTTATAGATTTATATAAAATCCTACGGTTTTATTAAAAGAAACCTAAAAATCGATTCGCTTCAGTACAGTTTGATCGGTTTAAACGGTTTTTAAATATCCATTGACACCCCTCACATTTAACATTCATGTGATTAGAAGGAACATGTTACTTCTTACTCATACCAATTCCAATTTGAAAATCGATGAACTTGAGAAGTCGACAAATAAAAGATATTATATTCTTGAACATTTTTTTTTTAGTTTAACCAATTAAAATATTATATTTTCTGAATTTACTAGTTTGTTGGTAAGTTCCATGAGTGAAGCTTCTCAGGAAACAGCAGAAAAAAAGTGTTATTTGATGTGAGGTCATCTATAATGCTTCTTTGACTAATTGAATGCCCTATTAAATAAGTAACTGCATTCCCTGTCTTTAAGGGAAGCATAGTCCACAAGATTTTTCAAAGGATAGAGATGCGTATAGTTATACCGGATTTGAAACTTTATCTACTTCCATTATAATATCATACCAAAGTCATATTTTAATCATATCAATCACTTCCACTCCCAGCTTACCAAGCAACGCCCCCCCCCCCCCCCCCCCAATCCAAAATCAACCAACAAAGATATTCCCACTCCAACAATGGAAATACAATACTACTACTTATTATGTCCACAGTTGCATGAGCCCCCTGGAGTGTTTCTATATAATTAGGGGTGTGCATTCGATTTATCGATTCGATTTTGATCCTTATCGATAATTACTTATCGATTATCGATTTGTACATATGCTTATCGTTATCGTTTCAATAAGGTTTCGACTTTTTCGATTTCGATTTATCGATTTTTGGGGCTTATCGATTCGGTTATCGATTACACCAATAAAAAAACTTGCGGGATTCTACGGAAAGTATATCGCTATAAACACGCCTAACTAATATGGACAAAAAGAAGCTAAAATAAGACGAACACCGTTTATAACATAAAAATTGTGTCAACAAGCACATGCAACGAAACTAAAGTAAGGGATCAAATGTATGCCACCAACACTCCAACGGTATAAAAAAAAAAAAAAAAAAAAAAAAAAAAAAAAAAAAAAACATCATCACGGCTAATTATGTTTTCCATTAATTTGAACTTCATTCCCTTGAGCTTTAAATGATCATTCCTTAAATGTGGTAGAGGAAATAATAGGGTTAGGGACTTAGGGTAAAGGAAAGGGTATTATAGAATAAGGGTTAAAAAAAAAAATTATATCTTATCGGTTTATTGATAAACCGATAACCGAAGAGGACAAAATCAAAATCGATAACTCAATAAGGAAAATTTCGAAATCGAAATCGATAAATCGATAAACCGAAATCGATAAACCGATAACAAATAATCGATTCGATTTATCGATAAACCGATTGGAATGCACACCCCTACTATATATAGAAGGGGTGCATTTATGGGGCCCATGGACCTGGTGCATAAATATGAATGGGGTTTCTTAAATAAAGGAAGAAAATATCAGCGCGATGCACTAAGCTCCTACTATGCCTCGCGTCTAGGGAAAGGTCGGACCATATTAGATATATTATACTAAGCTCATGCTATGCCCCGGTGTCTAGGGAAAGGTCGGACCATATTGGATCTATTATACTAAGCTCCTGCTATGTCCCGCGTTTTAGGGAAAGGTCGGACCATATTGGATCTATTGTACGTAATCGTACATTGCATTTCCGCAAGAAGCTGTTTCCGTGAAAGCTGGAAGTGGTTACGGAGGACAATTATAGGGACATGAAGTAATTCCAGATTCAAGATCCTAATCTCAAACACATCTTGCAAATGCAATTTAGGACTTGTCTCAAGCTTGTTAGATCTCTGAACTAACAACAAAGTCATATTCTAATAAACAACAGCATAATACAATTAGCATTTGTGCTCTGTGCATCGGAATTTCCCACTAGACTGTTATTAGTTCTACTCAAACTCAATTATACATTTAAAAGTGGGGGAAAAACTACACTTGCCTTATCGCTAATGATACAAGAAATCATATTTCCATTGTATTGGGGCAGAAAGAAGTAATTTACTCTCTTCCCTCTTCCCATCTAACTTCACCTATTACTATCTGTACAGAAATCAAGTTCATGTTGTTCCATTTGAATATTGCAGCTGTTTACTCGGGCACGAGCATTTCGCCTTTTTATCATTCAGTGTCTGCATTAAATAGGTGCAAATTTGGTGAGACAAAATAAATGTTGGTGGGAAATTCATGTGAGTGTTTGATGGAGAAAAGGCAAATTTTGTTTTCTTGGTAGTTACCTGGACTTGTTTCTGAAGGTCTTTAATGTAATCAACTGCCAAATCTAACATATCAGCTGTGTTGGTTTGCTGCCATTTCATAAAACAAAGAAAACATGTGAGTTCTTACCTTGTTTTAGAAAAACAGAAAGATATAATGAATTCTAATAATCACAAGAGTCTACCTTATCCATATTTGGAAAAAGATCTTGAAGTTTTTTCATCCTTTCACTAATCCGAGTCCGTCTCATCTAAAAAAATTCAAGAAGAACAGGAAAATTAAACCTTACTTCAACTTAACACTAAAACAAGTTGTATGATAGTGTGAACCTCAAGAATAAACATGATTAATTGGAAAAACAACAAGGTGACAGGACAGGATTTTACCCTCTCTGCAATACTTCTTGGATGAGTAGCAAAGCCTCTTTTGGCACGGATTTTGCAAGGCACTGAATCTTGTTGAAACTGCATGTATTTTTCTATGGCAGCCATCTCAGAAGATGTCTTTGGCAAGCTTAAATGGTGAGTTAAACCAGAAGTAGTGAAGTTTCTTGATTCACCATTCTGACAAACAAAATGAGCCATTTATTAGTAACAGACACAAAAACAAAGAGGATTATCAATAAATCAAGAAAAAGAAAAGCGAAAAAATAGAATAGGCACCTGACTAGTTATTCCATTGAAATCATTAGAAAACACTTTGAGATCACCATCTCTATTTCTCTTTAAAGAATGGAATGAAGAGTCATTCCAAGATTCATTCTCAGCAATGCTAGGCATGAAATTTGAGGTAGAAGATTGAGCAGATGAGAAGCTCATATTAGCCCCACTACTTGCTCTATAATTCCCAACTTCTCTTGTTATATCAAATCCTGAAAATATGCAACAAACTTCTTATCCTCCCATTCTTCATTACAATAATAAAACTATATCAAAATATCACATCCATCATTCAGTACATTTCAAATTCAAGAAAAAACAAAGCTTGAATTCCTCCAATCTATTCCCAAAATAACCAAAAGTTCCCTCTTCTTTTTACCTAAATGATTGGGATCAAATCAACAAAGGCAAACTTTTCCTATTTTCTACAGATCCAGAAATAGGAAGGGCTTCGTGTGACCAATACGTCACGAGTTCGAGCGCAGCCACTAATGCTTGCATTAGGGTAGACTGTCTATATCACACCCCTTGAGGTGCGGCCCATGCGTGAACACGAGATGCCTTGTACACTGGGCTGCAGATCCAAAACTAGCTAGAAGTCAACTCCTCAAGTACTACACAAAAGTCACATAATCTACTAACCCAAAAGTTTAAACCAATCAAATCCTCCCTAAAAGCCAATCAACTTCATAATTAATCAGGAAAAACCAACCAATTAGCACTTACACATCAAAATTTAAGCTGAAAAAGTTGTCATAAACTTAACCAACAAAAAGTTAAAAGAGTAAATGAGCATACCATTGAAGAATCCAGCAGGTGAACTGCTTTGTCTAATAAGATTATTAGAGCCACCACCATTTCCATTACTCAACCTCACTCCACTTTGCATTTGCACTCCTACACCATATGATCCCATAGCAGAAGAAGCAAATTTTATATCCTCTCCAATCTCCTGCTTCATAGAAGAAGAAGCAAACTGCAACTGATTTTTGCTGATCTGATCATTCAGATCCCGAGTACCAGAAACTGTAACATTATTATTATTATTAACGTTGTTGTTGTCGTTGTTGTTGTTCAACAAGGCAGTGAACATGGATTCAGAATCCGAACTCGAAGATCCATCATGAGTAATAAAATTTTCACCGGAATTATTGCCGTCTCCGTCAAGAATTCCGGCGAAAAACGAGCTCGGAGCTGACCTGTACCTCGTTAACCCCCCACCATTATTATTACTCTGCTGCTGATGGAATTGTGAAGACTGTTGCTGAAAAAAATCAGAAATCATGATTTCTTTGTTCCTTAAAAACTCAGTTTCCATTCCTTGTAATTCACCACCATTCTTAAAATTTGAAGAACCGCCGCCGCCGCCACTTGAAAACAAGAAACTATTAAATTTGTCCGTTTCTCTTGACATTGGCTCTGTGCTACTAAACATGATCAAGATTTTTCTTTTTCTTTTTGACAAGAATTCAAAATCTATGGAACAAAAAAAAGGTATAATTTTTAGGATCTATGGATTCAAACTTTCATGAAATTTAGTGAAGAAGAAAGTAAATTAGCAGAAAATGGCATATGAGCTAGCAAGCAATATATCGAGCTGATTTGATGGTGACTGGTGCGTGCGCGAGGATAAAATGACCAAAATGCCCTTGGTTGACAAATTGGTTTACCCTTTTTACCCTTTTTTGTCTTTTTGTTTCAAAGGGAATGGCTTTAGGTTTGTTTAATTAATCCTTGATTTAAGTTATCTTAATATTTTTATTGAAGCTTACGACGCTTAGCTGTGTTGTTGTCCTGTTCCTCTTAAGTTCCAAACAAACGTAAATATGGAGATTTGGAGCGTTCTTTGAGGAAGAGAAGAGGCAACATGTCATTTATAATCGTATCGTCACATTTTGTAGTTATTTGTAGGAAAAATGATACTGTATGCCCGCCATAAAAATAATAATCAAAAAATATATATTATTTGTATGTATACATTTATATGTTATATACAAAAATTATACTAGTTTTATATATTTTTTCAGCTACCAAATATAAATAGTTTCTACCGCGGGTTAAAAGTAATAATACCTCTTAATTGTACTAATTTATTGACGTAATTTTAATTTTTATAGAAGGTTACCCAATTGTGAGACAAACAATATTGTTTTTCGAGAATAGAGTTTAATTTTTAATATATTGATCAATCGTAAATAAGTAATACTCGTATATATAATTTGAGAGGAAAAAAGTAATAGTAACCCTTAATAAGTTGTGGTAAAGAAAATGTCGAAACTAATTTACGTAAACCTTTATGTTATATCAACTTTTGTCTATCCATAATTAATCTAATCATTATTTTTTTTGATGAACGGAGATTTTATTTTTACTTTTTATTAAGATGTAAATTTTAGAAAAAGAAAAGAAAATTATGATGAAATATAACCACGTATACGATCTTATCTTCAATCTAAATCACGTTTGTAAGATTGAGAATTTTTAATAGAAATTTCAAAAAAGGAAAAGATGCCAAAATTGAAAACTTTCTATGATCCTCCCAAGGAAATATTTGATTTATTATTTTAGCCAAGCCATTACTATTAGATATTGGCTTTTGGGGCCAAAGTTTGTTGTGAATAGAAAGTTTCTTTTCTTGTGTTCCCATTTTATCAAAAAAGGGTTGACTCAAAAACAGCTTACCAAACAAAATCAGCAGAGTACCAGGATTTACCAAAACCAGGTACGAAAACAAAGTTCTTTAATCACATGTCTTTGCATCGTATTATTTTACAAAAATCATTTCGGTCAAAGAAGGAAAATTTTCAAACTTTTGACTTCCCATATCTGCAAACTTTTTTGGAATGGAAAGGGTCATTCTTGAAACCTAAAAAAAAAAAAGGAAAAAAGAACAAGATTATATTGAAAAAAAAGTTTACCAGGTAACTTAAAGCGACCCATTGTAGGATAAAATGTGTTCATATTTATAATGATCGCATGAGAAAGCGATACGCGGAGTCGAAGACAGAAGACAGTCGGGCCCGAAGACAATGGTCTCGCTTGTTATCGGAGAGTGTGATATTCATAACGGCGAAATAAATGTCTGCCACCCGGTAGCATTCAATGAAGAATATTCTGTAGCATTAAATACACGGTCCGTTACAGAGAATACGGAATTCACTGCCTACTGTTACACATTCTTCAATCACTCTCATAATTATCACTTAAGAGGGGCTTGATCCTATGATCTTATTCTCTAGGTGCAACTATAAATATGGGTGTCAAACTGGCCCAGTTCCGAACCGGTCTTGATCGATTTTAGACCGGACCAGAACGGTGGTAAGGGGGCCGGGCGGGGCTGGGTTGGGACGGGAACCGGCCTGTGCCGCTAAGCCTTACATTTTATCTCGATTTCAACGCTAAGCCTTACAGTTTTTGTCTAATTCTTTTATCGTTTTAGGATCAAATCGATTCACTTGTCTATAAACCACGTATAAATTGAAATGTACCATTTTACGGGTAAACAGTTTGGTGCCCACCGTGGGGCTTAGACAAATGTGTAACTGAATTGATCCCTACATCTATTACTAATTTGTTTGATTCTTTGTTCTCAGCAAAAATCATTAAAAATGGTAGATAACTATGTCAATATTGCATACAACGTTGAGGCCCAAGGAAATCAGCCTCAGCACGAAAATTCCATCAGCGATATCCGCAGTGAGAGGGATGAGGCCACGCCGGTTCATGGCGGGCAGCATCCATGACATATTTGATAGGCAACTCTTGATGATGATGAAGACGTGCACGTCGTTAAAAGAGTAAGGATCCTGAGGGAACAACAAAAGGCCATTAGAGCCATTTCTCGCAGCAGGATCAGGTCATGACGGAATAAAGGCAGGCATTGTCGGGTGCTTCTAACAGCGCGAATGGAGGGGGTCCAGTTCCTCCGGCAAATCAAACAATGCAAAGGGTTGATACCAACACCCCGAGGGGCGAAGTCGATTTTGACAGGGCCGGGGCGGGGGGGGGGGGGGGAACGGAAAGTGGTTCCGGCAACAACAATGAAAATGATCTTTTTAAAACTGAACTGATGCGGTTTATGAGAGAAATAAACGCCCGAATGGATCAAATTTCGGGTGCACCACCAGTATTGAAAGGACCGGACTCGAAGAAGTACACCCATCTGTCATTCAAACTAAGCGCGACACCAGAGTTGATCACGAAGGAGTTCAAAATCTCGGACGTGCGAAGTATGATGGGACTTCAGATCCTCGGGAACATATCACCACATATACAGGCTGTGAAAGGAAACGATTTGGCTCCGCACGAGATTGAGTCAGTCTTGTTGAAGGAGACCCTCACGAAGGGGGTCCTAACATGGTATTCTCTCTAGCCCGAGCATTCCATAGATTCTTTCGAGATGCTCACGGATTCTTTCATTAAGGCCCATGCCGGGGCTAGAAAGGTACACGCTCGAAAGGCCGACATATTCAAGATTGCACAAGGAGAGTCCGAATTGTTGCGGGAGTTCGTGACTCGATTCTAGAAAGAAATGATTTTGCTCCCGGCTGTACCAGATGAATGGGCAGCATAAGCATTTACTAAAGATTGAATCTGAGAAGTTTCTATGCTTCCCGAAAATTGAAAGAAAGTCTGGTCGAGTTCCAGGTAACAGCATGGGCGGACGTTCACAACCGGTACGAGTCAAAGATAAGAATTGAAGATGATAAGCTCGTCTTTCCAGCGTCAACCAAAGGCCTGGACTGAGAAAATAATAAGGAAAAATTGAAGGATGATTTCGACAGAGATCGACAGTCTTCAAGGGGTGGGTTTTTGCCTTATGAGCGGGTTGAATGATGCGGTAGAGGTTTCCGGTCGGCGGATAGATTCGCTAACGATAGGAGAACTGATCGCAGCCAAAATAATAGTTCATTGCAGGATAAAGAGACATCAAATTCTTGAGATTCCTTCTATACCAGGCTTCCCGAGTACAACATTAATGTCAGCATAATAGAGCTGGTGTCGGCTATGAGAAACATCAAAGAGGAACGGTTCCCGAAGCTAATGAGATCCGATCCCAGCCAAAGGGATCCTAATTTGCGGTGCGAATATCGTGGGACAAACGGTCACCATACAGGGGACTGTCGGCATCTGTGCGAGGAGGTGGAGACACTACTGAAGAACGATCATCTCAGAGAATTTTTAAGCGACCAGGCTAAAAACAACTACGGCCGCAATCATGATAATGCAGAACCTTCAAGAGCAGGAAAAGATCCCCCATGCTTAACGATCAACATGATTTTTGGGGGAAACGAGATAAATGGTGTGATATTTTTTGCAGCAAATAAGATGAAGGTGTCAATGGCCCACAACAAGACACTCCGGGAAGTCGATGTGGACGACATTACTTTCACGGAGGAAGACGCAGATGGACTACTGTTGTCGCACAACGAAGCATTGGTAATCTCTTTAAATGTCTTAGATTTTAAAATTAAACATGTTCTGGTGGACCTAGGAAGTTCGGACAAAATCATCCAATGGAGATTATTGGGGCAAGCCAAGCTCAGCGGAAGTATCATTCCATCCACAAAACTCCTCGTCAGGTTCAACAGAAAGAGTGACAACCGAGGAGAGATCCTGCTGCGCACAAATGCCTAGGGGGTGATGAAGACGACCCTTTTCGAGGTGGTGGACGGCGATATGGGCTACAATAATATCCTGCGGAGACCATGGTTGCACGAGATGAAGGTTGTTCCATCAACATATCATCAATTGTTGAAATTTCCAACTCTTGAGGGAATTAAACAAATAATAGAAAATCCACCGGCAGCAAGGGAGATGAACGCAATCTCAGTTTCCAGTAGCAAAGGGAAGGAGCATGCGGCATAGCAATTATAGGAATCGGCGCCTGCTCCCGAGCCGAGCGAAGTGAATCAGGGGGAAGAGTTGTCGGAATCCTATCAAGTACAAAGATATTTTCAGTTGCCAGAAGAAACGGACGCAGCAAAATCCAAAACGGAAGAACTTGAACAAGTCGCATTGTTCAAAAAATTCTTGGAGAGGAAGTTCCATTAGGGGGATAGGATTACACCCCGATCTCAGGTCTGGACTTATCGAATTTCTTAAATTTAACTCTGATTGTTTTGCGTGGTCACATACGGATATGACAGGTATCCCGCCAGAAGTGACCGTGCACAAACTAAGCCTAGATCCCAACATCCCTCTGGTAAGACAGAAAAATGTCCTATTGCCTAGGTCAGAAACAAATTTTTCAAAGAAGGGGTAACTCTCTTGCTTGATATCGGTTCAATCTGAGAGGTAATGTATCATGACTGATTAGCTAATGTAGTTCCAAAGAAGAAGAATAAATTTCGATGCGTAGACTATAAGAACTTAAATAAGGCGTGCCTAAAAGACTCATTCCCATTGTCAAACATTGATCAAATAATTGATGCGACGGTCGTGCATGAGTTAATGAGTTTCCTCGATGCTTACTCCGGGTACAACCAAATCAAGATGAACCCGGAGGATTACTTCATAACGAATTTCGGCACATCTTGTTATAATGTGATGCATTTCGGGCTAAAGAACGTCG